ATGCATGTATGTATGTATATGTACATGTACATGTACATGTACATGTACATGTATATGTATATGCATATGTATATGTACATGTGTATATATATATATATATGTATATCATGTATGCATATGTGTATATACATACATATGTGTGTGCGCGCATGTGTACCTGTAGCTACATACAAAAATGCACATACCTACTGTAACGAATGCCTCAGCCTCTCAGCGGTGAGCAGTGCAAACGGCGCCGGGTCCTTGCGGTCGTCTCTATCCCGATCCCTGGCGCCGGGCATTCATATTCGTGTTTCGGGTTTACGGTTTTGTGAACCCACTCTCCGGAAATCAGACAAAAACATCTGCAAAACCCCTGGCTCCCACTTGAACTCGACGATCTGCTATCCTAAACTCCAACCTCTGAGGCCCGCAAGAATAGGAAACAATGAAAGTAACTTTCAAGCAACAACCACAATCGAAATAGCAACCGTGCTAAAAAAAAATATCATAATCACAGTAGTAAACATCAACCCTAAACCCTAAACCACGAATGTCCGGCCTATCTCGATCCTTGCTGGACTTCGGCTTCACAGCCTGGACGCTGGAGTTCAGGCTGCCGGGCTTGGCTTTGGGGGTCTACGCTTCGGGCTCTAATGTTTGGGGTTTAGGGTTTAGGGGTTTAGGGGTTAGGGGTTTAGGGTTTAAGGGTTTATGGGTTTAAGGGGTTTAAGGGTTTAGGGTTTAGGGTTTAGGGTATGGGGCATTTTTCCCAGAGATCCCAATACCCCTTATTCAAGGAATATAACTTCAAGTATAGGGGGCTGAATATTGCTAGGGTTTAAGGTGTCCTCCTTAATTAAAGGGTGTTGGGGTCTCTGGCTTCCCACCCGCCCAGTTGACCAAGTCGCACGGCAGGGATTTTCGTTCGAATTGAAGGTTTGGGTTTAGGGTTTAGAGCTTGTTGGGGTTTTAGTACTCACTCTCGGACATGGGTTTAGGGATGTTTAGGGTTTAGGGTATAAGGCTTAGGGTTTACGCCAGCCGGGCGAGGTCTCTCGGTTCACGCGTTCACTACAACACGGTATGCAGTGTTTAGGGTTTAGGGCTTCGGGGTCACACTTGTAGCAGCTCCGCAGGGTACTGTTTGGTGTCACAGCCTAGATCGAAACCTCAGCAGGCCATGTGCGAACAGCTTGCAGCTACCTTAGCAAGGCTAGATGTGGAAGATCTTCTTGTGAGACACCACTCGACCTTTCAATTAGGCCCTTGCATCTAAACACCAAGCCCCGAGCTCTTCATGGCACTGCAAAGAACAAGGAGCGAAAACCACCACTGCTTCCGATTTGTCATTTGAGACATGCTCGGGTTCCTGAAACCCCTTTTTTGTACAGGCTTGTGTGAATCCCGCCTGGACGTGTCGAACCCTAAACCCTGAACCCTAAACAAACACGAAAAATGAAAGCCTAGACCCTACAGCCTCGACCCCGGAAGTGATCCCTTAACTGCCTGAGCTGAAAAGCCGAAACCTTGAACCCCAAACCCTAAACACTAGAGTAGAGCCTAAACCCCCAGATTGGAGCCTAAACCGAACAACCCAGAAACGCTGGACAACCAACTTCAAAGGCTGGACCAAAACGTGAAACCGAATTCGAAACACCGGCATCCTGAACCACCCTTAACCCTAAAGTACGGTTTAGGGTTTAGGGTTTAAGGTTTAGGGTTTAGGGTTTAGGGTTTGAACCCAAAGCCCGAAATCCTGAATCCTACACCCTTAAGTGAATCCTGAATCCTAAACCGACATGCCAAAACCCAAATCCTAAACCCGTAAAATTAAAGCCCAAACGCAAACCCGAGCCCACTGTAAAGCGGACGTAGAGCTTTTTCTTCGCAGGCGATTTTAAGGTTCAGGGTTTAGGGTTTAGGGTTTAGGGAAGGTAAGTATAAGGTCCAGGGCCCCGGGCTCATTTAGGGTTTCGACTCTGTGATGGTTGCTGAGGGTTGAGGTGCAAAGGGCCGAGGACCGGCAGAACAGTTGAGACTCTTGATTGGGTTTACGGTTCAGGGCCTAGGGGGTTTAGAGTTTGGGAGTTTAGGGTTTAGGGTTTGGGATCTGGGGGTGTTTTACTTCGATGCTGGACCTGGAGGATGGATGCCCTGTCCCGTTTTGAATGGCAGAGGTTTAGGGTTGCTACTAGAGTTTAGGTGTTGAATTTTAGAAATCCATGGTTGGCTTAGGGAGTTTGGGGTGCCGGCTTTGAGGAATGAGCTTTCAAGAGAGCCATGGATAATTCTCTAAGTTTGGGTACTTTTTTGTGGTCCCCAATAGAGTACGGCACCCCTATAAAAACGATCCCCCAAGGGACCCTAATTTAGAGAACTACCTACATGGTGAGCACTCTGAAGGATAAGGCTTGGGGCTCAGGGCCTAGAGTGTAAGCTCCGTCTCCTCAAGTTGTAAACCTCAATTCTGCAGGGTTTAGGGTTTAGGGCTCATGCTTCGCCATAAAAACTGAAGGAACCTTTGAAGGAAACCTTAACAGAACCCTTAACGGAACCCTTAACGGAACCCTTAAAGGAACCCTTCAAAGAAAAAGCCTTAAAAGAAAACCTATTCTGCAAACTTGCAGCCGTCCATTCCAACATCGCAAAGCCCCCTAAGCTTCCGAATCGGATCCCCTTAAACACCTGAACCCTAATCAACCCTAATAGACCCTAAATTCCTAAACCCGAATAGACCCTCAACCCTAAACTCCTAAACCCTAAGAAGCCCTTTGGGTTTAGAGTTTATTTGGGGTTTAGGGTTTAGGGTAAACCCTCATACCCCCGCCCCCGGCCGGTGCCTGTAGAAGCTTCTCTTTGTCTTCGAAGGTCGGCCCCTCCGTCTCTGGAAAAGCCGCTAAGACCTCAAAATAGGGGTTAGGGTTTACGGTTTAGGGTTTAGGGTTAGGGGTTAGGGTTTAGGTACTTGGAGGGTCCGGGGACTCAGTAAGTAGGGTCTATGTACTCCCACAACTCGGACATGCCAGGCGAGGATCCATAGGTGCATAAGGGTTTAGGGTTTAGGGTTTAAGCTTGAAGGCTACGGTTTAGGGAAACATGTGCACTGCGGGGATACCGGCAGCAAAGTTTGGGATGATGGGACATAGGGTTGTCCCGCAAGTGCTGTTTGCAAACATTCTTGCGCACTTGCTGCTGGTCCGTGAAATCTCGCGCAACTTTCGAACACTTGTTAATGCAGCCTAAGGTTTATTCCTAGACGGGCACTGGCAACACCTTCATGGAAACCCCACAAAGAACCCTAGTCCGAAATTTTGGAGAGTAGCGACAGAGGACCAGCAGCGATTCGAGATTCGATGCCCATTGCCTCGAGACTCACCTGCCCCGGTTGCTTGTTTCGTACACGAAGAGGCCAAAACTTTTGAAACACTGAAAACACAAGTTTTTTCTTTGCTTCAGGGCATATTCCCTCAGGAAAGGTCCCTAACACTGCTTGTTATCTGCTGCCGCTTGCATTGACATCCCAGCCAGCCTCGTGCTGGGAAAATTGCAGTAGCTTCGCAGGCACCTAGCTTCGTGGTGTGCTGTAGTGATGGGAGATTGGTTGGAAGTACGTGTGGTGTTCGGTGTGTTCAGCAGCCAAGACAAGAGCAAACATGTTTGGGGCATCTCAAAGGAACATATGTTTCAACACTCTTCAGCAAGTTGATAAGCCTGATTCTGCTAATATTGGTGACACTAAACAAACATTGCATCTCCTTCTCCTCCTCCCCCTACTTCCTTCTACGATGAGTTAAACTAAGCGTATTCATGTTAATGAAAACACGAAAGTTAGCATAATTACTGGCCTTATTCGTCACAGCGCAAACAGCCAGGCTCATTAGTAGTAGCGACAGCAACAGCGACCCAAACCTGCAACGATGCGTATCTATTTCTCTAACATATTGCCATGCTTACCGTTGCGACTCTCCTTGCTGAAGCATGTCAACCGAAAACAACATCTTTGTCAAGAAATGCAATGCCGCAGGCAGGCATGACACTGGCACGCCGCATCTAAACATTTTGAAACACACGTCAGTAACACTGCATGATCGAACACAACACTGCCCTGCAAGGTTAGCCGTCTCTCACCGGAAGCCCCGCCTGAGTGTGTAGATATAGGCACTCTTTGCCACGGCTGCAAGCCCCGCGTGCAAAAAATCTACACGGCACATTCGCAGGGTCCTGGCAGATGTGGCCCGGTTCAGATTGAAACAAAACGGCCCAGGAAGTTTCATCTGCAGAAGCTCACATCATGCGCAGCAATTGCAAGTCTCAGTTCTGCAACACAAGCTTGAATGCTTATCATTGCAAAAACAGCTCGGAAGCCACCAGCCTCATGGCGAAATCGGCATGCGGCACCGTTGCTGCAGGTCCCCCGAATGAAGAAGCGGCAAATAGGGTCGTCTACCTCCCATCTCAATACGCTTGGCTGGCTTCGACATGTCAGCTCTAGCCCGCAAAAATTTGGAAAAAGGATTTGGACTCGCACAATCCGCACAAAACCAGATGTGAAGGTCAGGATTCTGTAAGATGTCTCGAGTCCTCAGTCCCCCTTGTGTTGAGAAGGATGATACCCATGCGAAAAAGGGGTCTGTAGGATACGTCTCGAGCCTCTATCCGCGCCTGGACAGTATTGCTTCTTCAGTCCCCTTGTGTGGCGAGAGAGATGCTCATACGAAAGTAACAAGCAAAACGAAACATAACATGAGCAGCCATTAATCATTTGAATCCAAGACCGTTGTTTGAAGAAACCGCCTCAGCAGCCAGGAACCTCGCACGCTTGGACGGCTGCGCCATGGCATGACGTATTCCGAGCCCCAAGCTATGGTTCAAGGGTTAGGAATAAGTCTGAATAAGTTTTAATGACTTACGTGTCGGGAACACACTTGTAGCTATGAAGGCGGGGGGCTTTGTCCAAACATCTGAGTCTGGAACATCAACTAGAACCTTTTGACTTGCTGCTTGGACGAAGGCCCTCGCGTGTGATATGGGCTTGTTGCCATGAGTCGGCAAGTTGTTAGTGTGCGAGTTGAACCACCACTTAACTTGCTTTTCTACTTTGTGGCTTTGCGAGGGAGCCAAGACGGCTTCTCATCACATCCTTTCCTGTGCAAACTTCTTAGTTTGATGTCTATGCATGACAGCACTAAGCCGATCTGGGCCGCCACACGGTTGTAGGTGTTTATAAAGATAAGGATATGGATACAAACATAGACATGGATACAGATATACACATATATGATTGTGCACTGTGCGTTCTGCGCCCCCCGCCGCCGCTATGGTATCCCGTCAAGTACTCATGGCTGGAGCCTTCAGCGCATGCACGGAGGGCCCATGTCTAAACTCCGAAGCTCAAGATCCAAGCACTAAACCCTAAACCCAGGCTCTGCTCCGACTCAGCTGGGAACCCTAAACCCTAAACCCTAAACCCTAAAACCAAGCCGGGGGGAGGGAACCATTGGAAGAGGGTTTAAGCCAGACCACCCAGCCATTCCACACGCAAGCAGGGGAGGGGTAGGGGGGGCCCGCCCGCCGAAAGGCAACCATATGTATATTTTTGGCTCCCACAACCATATATATATATATGTATATATATATATATATATATCTGCGTTGGTTATCATCCTTGCATCATCATCACCGTCATCATCTGTATCATCATCGGCATTATCACGTGCGAAGGCGCCACCACCATTGCAATAGAGATCATCATCATCATCATCATCATCATCATCATCCCCACCATAGTCTCCGCACGGTCGTGACTCAAATTCTCGGAATCAGGCCTCGTCGTTGCGTGACGAGCCATCAATGCCGAATGCCGAGGCCCCCGTAGCCCAGGATGTTGACACCAGTGTCCACGCCTGCCCTGGACATGGCGAGTACAATAGAGACAAGACGTGCAAATAATCAAGAAAGATTGGAGCTACGGCAGCGTCGGAGCATCTCTGCACGGGGTTCAGTGGGGGTAAGGGTGTAGTAGCCAAGAGGGTCCATATATACTACAATAATGGAATTAGGTCCCCTGAAACCATTGTTAGGATGGTCCTTTGGGGTCTAACTCCATAGTGGTAGTGCATATGGACCCTCTGGGTAGGGTTTAGGGTTTAAGGCGCTTAGGATCTACAGGGCTCCCTCGCGTTTTGACTAGTGTCATTCTCCGGCGCAGCCCGGAAATGGGCCGGGCCAGCAGCTTGGGATCCAAACGTCCCGAAGCACCAGCCCAGGATTCTTGCAGAACGCACAGTGATCAATCATCACATTACCAAAATGTCCTCGGGGCTAGGCTTAGGGGTTTCGGGTTAAGTGTTTGTGGTTTGTGGTTTAGGGCATCAAACAAACAAACTTGTCATCAAGCAAGGTTTTCGGCTTGGGTCTCGGCCGTTTAAGCTGGAAGTATAACGTTTTCTTCCCTGCCTGGGAGAAACATGTTCGGTGTCTGGTCGTCTCGAGTGGACTACGACGACGACAACAACTACAACTGCCACTTCTTCCTCCTGCTGCTGCTGCTGCTGCTACCTCTACAAGCGACATTAGACATGAACCTCTTTCACACGGGTCATGTTTACAGCGGCATCTGCTGGTGCATCACCCAGCCTTCCAAACATAGTAACTCTCAAGCAATAGTTTGGTGGCAAGTGCACCAAGTATGCCGCTGGCAGCTACGAAGTGAGCCGTGATCGGAAGCCTAGAGGCTAGAACCCAAAGAAAGTTGCTGAGCGAATCCGTCTTTTGCCGCGGCAGACGTAAAGCCACATCGAGAGCGCGCGTGAACAGCAACTCTGCAGCTTAAAACGCGGCCGCATGCTAAGAACCATGCACCGTCAGGTTGCCATTAGCCCAACACTCGACCAAGAAATGTGGGGGCTGTTTCTTCAGTCATCCTGACGGCAATGGCAACTGCTAGCTACAGTTCGCAGCTGTGTGAGGACGAGGCTGCTGTTTTGGCGTAGTCAATGCGGAACCCGAAGTCTCCAGAGCTCAACCCAAAGCATTGGGCCAAGAAGTCGTCTTCATTGTCTGAAAATATCGCAGCCACCTACGTTTCTAGTACTAAACCTATGCTTCCAAGCTCTCCGTCCCAAGACTCAGATGCCCTACGGCGCAAACCTCTGCTTCTACCCGAAAGCCTCCCTGTCACTCAGGAGCTGCTTGGCCTGGTCACAAAGGAGCAAAGGCTGAATGCAAGGGTTACTTGGAGGATCATGGGACGTAGTAAGTAAGGTTATAAGTCCCCTAACCGGGGTTATGAGTATAGTTACCTTAGTTATAACCCTACTTACTCAGTCCCATGATCCTTTAAGTAGGACTTAGGTAGTGTTAATGAGATATATGTCCCTATGTTGCGTTCTGAGGTGGCAGCCTTCACGGGGGGGAGGCAGTCTCGCACACCCCTAACCAGCTGGGTCGTGCTAGGGAAAAGTCACTCCCACACCAAATCCCAGAATGACACTGTATAGCTGTGTTCCCCCAGGTTCCCTAAGCACTGAGTACTTGAAGAAGTCTTTAGCGGATGGGGGTGAAGTTCCTGTTTTGACCCCTCTGAAAGGCCTACACAATAATTACTGAGTTCACATGAACCCTACAACATTCAAAGTAACCTGTGTAAATGTCTGGAGTCCGTATAAAGAGCCTTCGCTTGGATCACTGATCCTCTACTACACGAAAACCTACACCCACAAATGACAAAGGGAAGCCTGCCTTCAATCGAAAACATACTGCCGATGGATGACATCTGCATTGCCACCACCAGTGTGTACTGTCCCCTGATCCTCCAAATGGCTACTAGTAACTCTCTAAGTTAGGGTCTCATGGGTGCCATACTATATTGGGGACCCCAAAAAGGACCCTAATTTAGAGAACT